CCCCGGTGGAGCGGGGCCGCGCCGCGGCGCCCGGGGGGCTGCCCGCGCTCCTGCTGCAACGCCGGGGCGCCCGGGGCAGGTGCCGGCAAGCCCAGGGTGGCAGCCGAGGGCGCCGGGATGTGGGCACGGGAACCTGCCGGCAGCACCTCCAGCCCTGCATCCCCTGGCAATGTCCCCCCAGCCCCACACCTAGTGCAAATGTGCCCCCAGCCCCACATTCCCTGACGATGTCCCCGCAGCCCTGCACCCACTCGTGGGCTCCCCCCAGCCCCGCAGCCACCATGGGTGCCCGGCAGCCCCACTGCTGCTGCCCTGTGCCATGGGTGCTGCCCTGTGGCATGGGTGCTGCTGCGTGCCATGGGTGCTGCCGTGTGCCATGGGTGCTGCCCTGTGTGATGGGTGCTGCCGTGTGCCATGGGTGCTGCCATGTGTCATGGGTGCTGCCCTCGGCGGAGCCCTGCTCCCGTGGGCGGTGCAGGGAGCCTGGCAGCACCCCCGGGGCGCTGACCTCCTGGCCTGGGGTGCTGCTGGCCCTGTGGGTCTTGCCCACACACGTGGGCACCCGCGGGTGCAGCTCCCCATGCGCCCGGACACGCACTGTAGGGGGCACCCGGCCAGCCTGGGGTGCTGCCAGGGGGACCCGCAGCCCCGGTGCCACCCCGGCGCAGGGAAGCGAGTGCATGGCAGGGCTGCTGCCCGCCACGGTGCCCACGCGGACGTGGCCCTGCCGGGCGCGCGGTCACTAGATGGTGCTGTCCTTTCTGTGCGGGGAAGGGTGTGCGGCCGCACCGCCGCTGTCCCCCGTCCCTTCGTGGCCGCTGTCCCCCGTCCCTTCACGGCTGGGTCACAGCCACCCCCTCTCTGCCAGCCCCGGTGTCCCCTCAGGGGTGGCAGGGCCTCCGTGTTGCCCCCCGTCCACCTCCCACCCGTCCCCTCTTGGGGGCTGGTGATGGAGGCGCCCACACAGTGAGTGAGCCCCCCCTCATGGTGGGGGCTGGTGGTGACCAGGGCCACAGGCTGGGAACCTGATGCCCCCTGCACAGAAAATCCCACTGTCAAGAACTGAATGTCCACAAAGGAGACAGAGGAGTCCTAGAAAATTATTCTAATAAAGGGAGAGTCCCCCRGGCACAGCCCTGTGGGGTCCCTCAGTTACAGCGGGGCGCAGCCTCCTTCTGCCCTAATCTCCCCGCCGAGGTGGCCCTCTCCTTCTCCCCCATGGCCAAGGCTCTGGGGAGCTACGGACGCCGAGGTCCCGCAGCTCCTGGCCACACGGCCCTCCCTGGGGGCCGTTGCTCATGAGGAGCTCTCTGCCCCGCTCCCGTTTCCCCCCSGGCGCGGGCAGCTGCACCCTCTGCCACAGGCAGCGCTCAGCTCCCTGCCAGGACCGCCCAGTCCTGCTCGCTACCAGCGTGCAGTGACTGCCCTGTTGTAAGGACGCGGGCTCCTTCCTCCGCTCAGCCCTGTGGAGCCCCGCAAGGTGCCGGGGTGGCGGCTCCCTGGGGTGCTCTCCTGCCTTGTGGGTAGCAGCCTCATCTCTGCACATGGGATGTCACCRGCGCTCAGGGGGAAGGCGCAACCCCAGGGCAGGGGACACAGCCTGAGGCACTGCAGCCCCCGGGACCGGGATGCCCAGGCCCATGGGCGCTGGCGGAGCCGCCCTGCGCCACAGCATCAAGTTTCAGGGAGCYGGGAGGAGGAGCAGGGAGCCGGGTTGCAGAGGCTGCCGGCGCGGGGCGAGCAGCACCTCGCGATGCTGCCGGTGCCGCCGCTGCAGAAGCTGCTGCAGCAGCTGCCGGCCGGGGCCGGGGCCGGCGCAGGCGGTCGCGGCA